GGCTTAAATTTCAATAAGACCTCCTGCAGGGGAGTGGGGGGGAAGGAAGGAGATGAGATTGGAAGCAGAAAGCCAGTCTAGGGGGCTATTGCAATAGTCCAGGCAGCTGATGATGGTGGCTTGGCCATGGTGAGGACAGTGGAGTCGTGAATGGTGCATAAATTCTGGATATTTCTTAACAATAGATCTGATAGGATTTGTCAATAGATTGGTCATGGGGCATAATAGAAAGTGAAGAGCCAAACATGATTTGAAGGTTTGTGATCTAATTGACAAGATGAATTGCCATGAACTGAGAAGACTATGGGAGAAGCAGGAATATCAGGAGCTCAGCTTTAGACTTGTAAATCGAGACCTGTCAGACATCCAATAGGACATGGCAGGAGAGGTATGCTGTGAACATGTGAATTTAAGCATCACAGCATATGAATAATATTCAATGTTATGAGGCTGGATGAATGAGAATAGACAGAAAACTGAAGAGGTACAAAAACTGAGCCCTGGCACATGCTAGCATTTAGAAGTTGGGGGTGTTGGGAGGAAAATAGCAAAGGAGCCTAAATGGAATGTACAGAAAGGTAGGAATAAAACAGGGCACTTGTGTTTCCTGGAAGCCAAATAAAGAACTTGAAGTATGAGTCAGTGGTCTGTGTCAAATGCTGCTATTAGGTCAGGTAAGTTGAGGATTGTGACTTGACGGTTGGATTTACAATGTAGAAGTTATTGGAAATGATTTGAAAATAGTCTTTGTGGAGTGAGTGGGAGTAAAAGGCTGATGGAATTGGTTCAAGAAAAAAGAACTGGAAACCAGACAAATCTCTCAAGAATTTTGCTATAAAGGGAAAGAGAAATAGGACATTTAAGAAGACCCTGGCTACATGAGACAAGATGTTCCTAGAGAAGCAGAAGCAAAGCCCATGGGTCAACGTGTGGCCACTTCTACATTTTAGCAGGGCCATTTGAGATGTTGTGTTGAGGAAAGACTGAAGGAGCATTCTCTTATTCTGAGCCACCAGTGAAGGCCATATCTCATGCCTTTTTTCATATGCCAGCTTGCAGAAAATGACAGCGACACACATGGATGAGTTAGCAAGAAGCCAGGTCATCAAAATGAGAAGCAGAGCTAGAGCTGGGAAAGGCTTAGATATATCATTGGGAGCATAGTAAAAGCAAGTTCTGGAACAACCTTGTTGGCTCCTTGCCAAGAATTCATACCACAAAATTGTCCCTAATGCATTAGAAACCAGAAGTGGTATAAGGACAGTTCTGGCTCTCATATCCTGAACCCTCTTTCAGTTAAGTATTAAGCTTTGTTTTTCATACAACCACAAGATGGAAAGGTCATCATTTATTCTTAGGAGGTGTAAGGGAGGGGACTGGGATGGGGTAGTTGCTCTAATGCTACCCTAGAGTGGAAAAGATAATCATGGAGAAAAACAGGATCACACCAGTGAAAGCCAAGCTGTCATCAGCTTTTGACTCTGTTTCATTCCATTCATTAATGGTCAGGTTGAGGGAAAGTGATTTTATTTTGACACACTCCATTTGGAATTCCCCTTGGCAATTTGCTCTACCTCTGTGCTGTAATGATCCCTACATAGGCAGGACAGAAACGGCTGTTGGGCTCTGTTAGAAACAGTTTTAGAAGGCTTCTCTTGGCCTTCATGACCAACTGGCCTCATTGGAACTTCAGTTTATGTAAACCTTTGAATCCTTCTCAGGAAAGGGCCAGGGCCTTTGCTTTCCCTGTTTTACTGCAACACCCATGTCCATGAAACTTGATATATAAATAAAACTGCAAGAGAGTTTGGATATGTTTGAAGTGAGATGGAGATCTCTGATAATCTCTGAAAGGGGCTCAGGGTAAAAAAGTACTCTAGAGTCAGGCCAACGTGGTAGAGGGTGAGGTAGAGGAAAATTAGTGGAAATAGTCACAGGAACCAAAATTCCGTTTGAAGAGGAATATGAATAACCAGAGCCACTTAATACATATTGTGATAGGAAATGTAGATGCCATGTTGTCAAGAAAGTGCTTGGAAATGCTGTTGGATCCCTGGGATTTTCAAATCCTAACCACAGCCCTGCTTCCTAGTCTGCTCCCCTGTGACTTCAAGGAAGGGCTATGACCTTCTCATGCCCCATATTATTGCTGCTTTTTGATCAGCTCCCTGGGGTACTAGGAAGGCAGAGAGAAGAAACTAGACTGGGTAAAGGCAACCCTCCTCCATATTATCCCACCCTGAGCTAGAGAAGTGAAGGACTGACTGATGGGGATCCAGACATTGTTTGGAAAACAATGTGTGAAAGTTGCCTAATGCAAACACCTTCCAATATGAATCAACATGACTAGGCCAAATTCTCAACTGAGAACTTCAATATAAGTCTTGCCTATACTTTTAGAATTTGCTTTTGTTACGCAGGCAGTTGATAAAGTGCAGGATGCTGAACTGTCATTATCTGTACAGTGGTGCTTCATAGGCTCTGCCCCCCAAATTAGACATTATTGTTGCATATTGGTTGCACTTGTGTATATGTATTTTTTGGTATTTGTCCTTTTAGGCTTCATTTTCACTGTATTATAAGGCAAAGTCAGTAATTTCTATTTCTTTGGCACTCTTGATCCAAGGAAAGATATATTAGTTTTATATGCAGAGCACTGAATAAACCTTGTTGAATAATAGTTAAATGACACATGCCAGAAGTTTCTGGGCAATCCTGTATGTAGAATGAAATATGAATTATTCAGAATAAATTGCTAATCTGATTTCTTCATTTTAGTAAAAGGGCAATACATAATTTAATTAGAATGATGCTTTGCATTTAAACACATTTAATGTATAAGCACCAATTCTTTTTTTTTTAAAATTTCTAAGCATCCTTTCTTTGAATAGATCAGAAAATGTAAAATATTTTTAGCCATTCTGACTAATACGAGGTGGTATCTCATTTGTGAGGATGCGGAGAAAGGGGAACCCTCTTACAGTGCTCACGAGAATGCAAGCTGGTACAGCCATTGTAGAAAAACAGTGTGGAAAAACTTTCCTCAAAAAAGTTAAAAATAGAGCTACCCTACAACTCAGCAATTGCACTACTTGCTATCTACCCAAAGGATACAAATATAGTGATCTAAAGGGGCAGTTGCACCCCAGTGTTTATAGCAGCAATGTCCACAATAGCCAAAATATGGAAAGAACCCAAATGTCTATTGACAGATGACTGGATGAAGAAGATGTGAATATATATATATATATATATATATATATATATATATAATAAATATATAATATGAATATAAATATATATAATGGGATATTACTCATCCATCAAAAAAAAAAAAAAAGAAATCTTACCATTTGCAATGACCTGGATAGAACTAGAGGATATTATATTAAGCAAAATTACTCATTCAGAGAATGATAAAATACCATATGATTTCACTCATATGTGGAATTTAAGAAACACAATAGAGGATCACAGGGGAAGGGAGGGAAAAATAAAGTAAGACGAAATCAGAGATGGAGACAAAGAATAAGAGACTCTTAACCATAGGAAACAAAAGGGGTTGTTGGAGGGGGAGGTGGGTGGGAGAGTGGGGTAACTGGGTGAAATGGGGTAACTGGCATTAAGGAGGGCACTTGGGGTAATGAGCACTGGGTGTTATATGCAACTGATAAATTACCAAACCCTACCTCTGAAACTAATAATACAGTATACATTAATTAGCTGAATTTAAATTTTAAAAAGACTTTAAAAAAGAAAATGTAAAATAATTCAACTTTGGTGCCTCCCCCAGATTTGAGACCCTATAATATATGTGCCAGTTTGTGTAGACCATCCCGTCTCATCTCTGTCCCAAGGGATATCTTGGGGTGACTATTACCCAAGATGGGATCAAGGAAGGGCCCATGTAGAGAAGTAGAGAAGCATAAACATGCCATGGGGCTCAAAGGAGGGAGAAAACACATCAGTTAGGGAAGTTAGTCCAGGCTTTGTGAAGGAGATGGTGTAAGGAATGGGCTTTGAAGGATGGATAAGTTTTCATTAGCTCTGTGTTGGGGAAAGTTGTCCCAGCCAGGTGAGAGTAAGAGCCCCTGAAAAAGTATTGATCTTAGGAAGTTATGGCTAAGAGTTAAGGTAAATATGGGGACACAGTGTTCCTTTGTCTAATTGGAAACATGGGTTTTAAAGTATGGGTAAACTGATGATAATTTTAACCATAATAGCTGGCAAATATTTTCTCAGATGCCAGACACCATAGGAAGTGCTTTACATAAGGAATCTCTTTTAATTTGGGAAAGACAAGTCTGTTTTTGCTGAAGAGTTGTTTGTTTTGTTTTTGTTTTGCTGAAGAGATTTTTTATAAAGGAGCAATATTAACAGAGTTGTCATAAAGTAGGTTCATAGAGGCATAGGGAAAGGCAGAAGACAGGGAGAGTACTCAGGAGGTGATTCATATGTTCTCAAGAAGTAATGAGACTTGAGTTATTCCAGCATGAATATAAGTGAAAATACAAAATTGGGATGGTTTGAATCAGAATTCACTTTTTTAAATTAATCAGGCTCCATGCCCAATATGGGGCTTGAACTCATGACCTTGACATCAAAGTTCGTATGCTCTAAACCAGCTAGGGACTCCCAGAATTTATTTTAAATTTTATATTGCAGTCTCTGCGAAAAAGGGTATTTTCTAGCTCAGGACACGTTAGTGGAATCTTAAGGATCTCGATGGTCTACCTTCTGTCCTGGGTTCCTTCAAGATATGGAAACCAAGAATCAATAAGGCTAAAGTCGCTCAGTGTTATCTGAGACAGAAACCCAGAGGCATGCAGACTCTTCCATCTCCCTCATTCCCTACATCCTCTCTGTCCCTGGTTGACTATGGGGTCAAGAACGTTAGATTGTTGATTTTCTTCTCTTCTTGTAACAAAAAGCCCAGATTCCTTGGATGTTGAAGTTTTAAGCTGCCATGAAGTACTAATCCCAGTATTAACTGTTTACAGATTCCATTGTGATTGGATTTTGGGTTGGTCTCGCTGTCTTTGTGATTTTCATGTTTTTTGTGCTGACTTTGCTGACCAAGACGGGAGCTCCACACCAAGAGTAAGTTTGGGTCTTTCCTAAATTACCTATTCAGCCCCATGGGGAACTAAGTAAACAGACATACTATCCAGGTCTGGGGTTGCTTTCAATGGTGGAAAAAAGGGGGTGGTTATGGATTTACTGCCTGGATCCTGTTGCTTTGGGTGGGATCCATCTTCCTCCTGGTACTTTGCCTCTTGCCCTTTGGGCTTATTTTCAGGTGGACCCTTGTGAACCTAGGTTTCATGGTCCTTTATGATTGTCTTAATTCTGATCCAGGCCTGATTTTTTATTTTGAAATGTTTATTAATTAGGATGTATTTTCTCCTTACTCCCAAAAGAATTTAGATGACTCACCAGACCAAAAACAGTGGCAGGTGTAGGGGGGAGGCCGTAGCAAAGTGGGACGAAAACCAGTTTTAAGAAACATTTCAAGGAACAGAGAAGTAGTTGTAACTGGGTACTTAGTTGAATTATTGACAATAAACAGTGGGTTCAACACTGAGCTTTCCTGAAACTAGGATGAAAAAAGAAACACCAAGGATTATGTAATTCTCGTGGCAGGATAAAGGACATTTGTGTTGGGCTTTGGATTTATGGGGGAAATTATTATAGGGCGCTTGACATACTTTGAATAACATCAGAAGGTTATCTGTTCAGTTATGGATCTCAAAAAAACTCAGAAATGTTATAGAGGAGTTTTATTATCCCAACACTTCAAAAAAAGAGAAAAATAACATATGTTGAATACCTTTTTAGTCAGTCCCAGCTAGCAGAGATAGTGCACTCAAATTAGGCTAATTAGAAGAGCTTTTGTTGAAGGGACTATCCACGAGTTGTGGCCAGATGGCAGGATAACCCCATGAAATAGCACAGGACCCCTGTTTGGCAACACTGAGGGGCAGTTACCACCCTAGGCCTGAAGTGGACCAGGAATCCTGTGGAAAGTGTGGCAGAAAGGAGCCGTGACTTTGGGTTGAGTGACAGAGCTAGCCAGAGGCAACCTCTCAGGGAGGGACCTCAAAATAAATACCAAGACCTTTTTTTCCTCCCCTCCTTCCATCTCTCAATTGCTTGCCATTGGCTGACCACAGTGGCACCGCCTGCCACCAGTCTCCAGCAGAGGTCAGTTTCCTAGGGCACAGAGCACACAGCAGCACGCAGAATGATGGAGAGCCACCCGGGAGAGTAAATGGAAGAAATTTAGCACAAATCCTACCACTTTATGTCTGGTAGCTCACTTACTCCTCAGAGCCTGGCAATAGGATTCTCGTTGTTGGATCTCATCACACACTCTCCAGCATCTGCTGTTCAATCTTCAGCCTGTACTTGCACTCTAACAAGTGCCTGGATAGAGGGAGCAGTTCTGCTCTTCACTCAGCTATTTTCAGACATTAAGGTGTAGAAAAAAAAAGTTAAATACATTTTAAATGAAAGGAAAATAACCATTTTATTGAAGCATATGGAGACATCTTGTTGAGAATCTCTTTACAGCCACTAAAGCCACTAAGAAGACGGGGACCTTTCTTTTCTTCTGTGTCCTCTTAAAAGCCTGTACATGCCTTTCTTCTATTATACTAGTCCAGGGAATTCTAAGATATTGTGTGGGTTGCAACAGTAGTCAGAAGAGCTGAGGACAAACTCAGATTAGGGAACATCTCATAGAGTGGCCAGGGAACAACAACGCTGTTATCTTCCTTTTCTTCAAAGGGTCAGATGGGTTTTTGCAGGACTGTTGGGATATATTTGCTTGCTATAGGATGCAGGTGATCTTTATGGTTGAGAACACCCTACCCCAAAATAAAACATGACTTCATGTAATGATTAATTTTATGCATCAACTAGTCTAGGCCATGATACCCAGATATTTGATCAACTATTACTCTGTTTCTGTGTTTATTTTTTTTAACAAGGTAAGAGTTAAATCAGTAGACTCTGAGTAGAGCAGATCATCCTCCATAACGTGAGTGGGTTTCATCCAATCACTGGAAGGCCTTCCTTGAAAGAGAATGATATCTCTCAAGCAAAAAGGAATTCTGATAGAAGACTGCCTGCAGTCTCACACTGCAACTCTTCCCTGGGGTTTGGACTTGCTAGCCTCTACAATCACCTGAACCAATTGCTTAAAGTAAATCTCTCCCTTCCTCTCAGTAGTTAGATACAATCTCTCTCTCTCTCTCTCTCTCTCTCTCTCTCTCTCTCTCTCTCTCTCTCTCTCTCACACACACACACACACACACACACACACACACACACACACACACTCCTGTTTTTGTTTCTCTGGAGCCCTGACCGATACATTTCCTTAATATGTCATGGTGACCCTAGGTAGCTGAGAGTTGCATTTCTAATCTTTCAATTGGCAGTTCAGTCCTACTGTTAGATGGTTTTTCTTTTGATAGTGGTTCTGAATAATCTTATTCAAGGAACATGGGTTATTGTAACTCTGCTTTAATGAGGTTAAGGAGAAAGTGTAACCTTTTTTTTTCCTTTAATAAAATAATGGGTCAGCTCTCAGGGCCACATTTTAAATGCTTCTTTGAGTCTGAGGCAGTATAAGATATGGCATTTGGTTGTACTATATCATAATAGAAAACTGAAAGAAACAGACATGAGGCAAAATCCCTAAGTGGATCAGTTAAAAAGGCTTTTAGATCTTAGTAAAGTTGACATTTATTTGGCAGATATTTTCTCTAAAGGAGACATTATTTTTTCCACTCAGTCAACTTTAATATAAAACAACCAATTTAAGCTTCCTTGTGTGATAATTAGGCGTGGAGGAAGGAATGATAAATCATTGAGAATAAGAGCTTTTTTTTTTAATGTTTACCATATGCTAGGGTCTACTAATCACTTTCTATGTATCTCACTAAGTCCTTCACAGGAAGACAACGTAAATCCTGTAAGAGTTCCAACTTTACAGATGAGAAAAATGGATTCATTTTTCTGAGGGTTCACAGGTAAAAACAACTATTGGTCCAGGCCTCAAACCAAAGCCTCTTTGACTCTGAAGCCCCTGTTATTAACCACCACGTGGAGTGATCTCATATTGGTAATTTTTAATCTCTTCCTTCTACTGAACTAAAGATACTAACAATCAATCAGATTCATTTTCCTATATCACATCCTGGACCACGCATGGGCTCTGGAGTCAAAAATTTCCAGATTTGCTTGCCTGAGACTTTGGGTTGGATTCTTAACCTCTCTTTGCTTGAGTTTCCTCATTTGTAAAAATAAGATAGTATCTGCCTCCTAGGATAATTGTAAAGATTCAATGAGCCAATGCTTGTGGAATTGCTGACAAAGGTGTATTTACAGTGGTCCTCAATGAAGGTTGGTCATCCCTGGGCTGCTGGTGGAAGGCCTGCTGAGGGATGGGGATCTAGGAAAGCAGGAAGGAGAAGAAAAACCCATCCTCCCATGGGACAACCAGGCCCTAAGCATTCATATTTGATCTGCACTCGCCAGTGCTTTACCCCATCCTCACCCTGGGTGTGTCGTTCAGGCAAATGGTGGGATGACTTTGGAGAGGATGCTAAGTGATGGGTCAGATCAGAAGGACTGACACGTCTGAATTCTGACTGCTTTAGCTGTCTGGCTCCCTGGGTGGTTTGTCCCAAAGAACAGTTACTTCCTCGAGTAGGATATCAGGTAACATCCGTTTGGAATATGACTCCGACATTCTGGTTAAGATACCTGATCAAGTCTTCAACTTCAGAATGAACTAGTGCTGAGTCTACTGCTTAATTCTATCTCTTTCTCTACGGAAGTATTTCAAGGCAGGACGTGCATCTCTTTGAAAGCAGTAGGACACAAGGACGGCAGATACCACAACCCGTGACTCTACTCCTTGTGCCCATGCCCGCAACAGACCTCACTAATCGACTGTGCTATCTACCTGCATTGCTGAGACTTGGCCTCAGAATTGTTTTCAAAGCATCACTTTGGGGCACCTGGGTGGTTCAGTCAGTTAAGCGTCTGACTCCTAATTTTGGCTCAGCTCAAGGTCTCAGGGTTGTGAGATGGAGCTCTGAGGGGAGCTTTGTGCTAAGCAGGGAATCTGCTAGAGATTCTTTCTCTCCCTCTGCCCCACCCCAACTGCACTCATGCATGCATTCTTTCTCTCCTTTGCTATCAAAATAAGCAAATAAATCTTAAAAAAAAAAAAACACTTTGGGCAGCTTTGAGGAATCAATCACAGTTTTCACCCAAGAGAGAATATGTATTTGCCAACCCTGGCTGAACCTTCATTTAACAATGTTGGATGGTAGGAGTTGAGATCCATTTGCTACACAGAGCCAATGACATTACAATATGATGGGCAAGTTTTTTCTCTGGAGTTTTCAGATTGGATCATATTAGCATAAAAACTTCAATTCTGGAATCACTGACTTCTCAATGGCTTTTGTGAAGAGAGAGAATGTGTAATAATCAGTTTAGATTATGAGACAGTAACAAACTCCTCAAATCTCAGTATGACACAAACAGGTTTATTTCTCACTCAAGCTAACCTGTTTGGTTAGCAAATAGGTGGACAGAAGCTTCTCCACTCTCTCTAACACTCAGCCTCCTGGGTTACACTAATAGGGAAGGGCATCTGCGGAGACCTCACACCTTCCCTTCTGTTCTTCAGCCAGGAAGTGGTGCAAATCATCTTCCTCTCACAGCTCATTGGCCAGAACTAGCCACGCCCACTGCCTCTCCAGGCTGAGAAGGGTAATCAGTGGGCCCAGAAGAAGAGAACCAGGTACTGGTGAGCACTAGAGAAGTATACCGCAGAGGAAAAAAGACTATTATAAAGCTGACATCACCTTTCTTAAAAGCTTTTAGGCCCAAGAAACAGCTTTAATGGGGATTATTTTTCTTATGGAATATTTGCAGTTGTGTGCAGGGGATGGTGGGGCGGGGGGAACCCGCTTACCTGAATCCTTTATGGACAATGAAGATAAAAGAACCATTTTCTCCTGCTTTCTCAGAGAAAGAGGCATTCACTCTGTGCTGTCTTGTTAAAGCATTATAGC